AGAAAAACACGTTAGGCTTACTAAAGATATGTACAACCAAATGAAAACGATAGTTCGAATTACATTTGGCGGAGCAGAAGAGTTCCCTTTGCAGGAATGGGTGTCTCAGAGCTCGGCATTGAGCTCATTTGTTTTCGACGGCGGCAGACGCCATAAGGAAAAAAGTTTGTAGCCATTTAAATGTTGCTGTTTTTGCGCTTTCGTGATGAAGCTATTTTGGCACTAGTGTCTTCTTCAAAGTAGTGATGGGGCGCTGATCTCGGTTTCTGTGCCATCAGCCAGGAGTGCCTTTTTTGGCAGAGTCGGCAGCATCTATGTAGCGAGCGTAGTGCATAGTCTCCTGTTTCCTTCTCACTGAGTGATACTCATTTATCAACCTCAGAGCGAAGAAGAGCAAATGATACCTGACTGGGCTCAAATCCGGAAGCTCTCGGTTCTCTAGTTAGACTTTCTACCGACTGGGCAAACTCGACCTTTAGCTGCGTGTGGTAAATTCCTTGTTGTACAAAATTCGTGGTTAAATCGTCGATTGCCGTCCGTTGGAATCGAACCCGCCATCTCCGGAGTTCGAAACATTTCTCTTTCGCACCTTCGCCACCGCTCCATCGAAGCAGTAGTTACAGATGTGCAGGAAGCCGCCGAATGTTGTGGTTCTCTGCAGATGACGTAGTGAGCAGTGAAGATCAAAAGACAGTAGAAGCAAAAACTGGTATGGACAATAGTCCTTCTGAAAAATGGCCTTCGGTTCAGCAAAGGTAGGCCGTAACGCATGGCGATATGTTTCAGGGAAGAGAACTGTGAAGACCAATAAATCAGTGGAAGTAGTTAGTTGTTTGCTGCCTTAAACCCAAGAATTCAAGTGCTTTGATGACATCCTGCCAGATAATGGAGAAGTCGACAGTTAGTAAAGAAATCGATCGAAAATGGTATGATTCCGATGGAGTGGAATAAGTGGTCTACTGTGTGATTAGAAAATGCTCATCAATGTAAAGAGAAACGTGTATAGTACGATAGTTAGACCAATACTTATGTACGGAGTGCAATGTTTGGCTACCATGAAGTGACACCAGCAACTACTAAACTCGATAGTAATCCTAATACTCAGACGGATATGTAATATTAGCAAAATGGATCACACCCGGAATTTCTCCATAGAAGGTGCTTCCGGTGTGGCTCCAGTTTCAAATTGAATACAGGATCCATTTTTTTGGCCACGCGAAAAGAAGATCCTAAATGTGGTCCAAATACTTGTACTTCTCAAGAAGAAATGATGAGAATGACAAAGGAAAAGGTTAGGTGTTTTTGCAAAGAACGGCGTAAAACTACGAGTGACTGAAGATTTGACAAAAGATTGAAAAATGTCCAGGTGGTTGAGTCGAATAGCAAACGCCTGTTAAAGGGAACACTGGAAACAATGATAATCAGAAAAATAAAATTTTTCTTAGGCTTTGAAAAGAATTCCGCTTGAATTAGATTAGTGTCACTTTTAAAGTAACGCGTGTCTTTTATTTGTGTTTCTTTTTGTATTCTTATGTGATTGTCAGATTCGCTTTTTGCGTAAATTTTAAATCGATCATGTTTTACTGTATAGGTATCCCAAATCTGGGTATTCGGTCCTTGACCCTGATACCGCAGATAATGATGACAACAACTGTATAGGAATCGTTGATTAAAATTAATTTATTTTAATATTCCTCGCATTGGAAATTAAATTCAGGAGTAGTAGTAACAGTCGCTCCTACTATATTGTTTAGGCTTGAGATTTCGTCTGATCTGAAGAGTGTGGAAAAGTGCGACTCATGTATTTTGAACCATTTGCGTTTTGCTCGCGAAAGTTTTCCAGATCTGTACGACATTAATTTCGTTTGCGCTGACGGCATCACGCTTGGTGCTCATCAGTGCATGCTGGAAGCCCGAGTGCCGTACTTCGCAACGATGCTCTCGTCCCAGTGGACCACCGACCACACGGTCAGAACATGCGGGTTGCCGTCGCTGCCCGTCGCTGTTGTTAAAGATATCCTCACATACGTGTATAGCAATGAAACACCACTGTGCAGTTTGGACAAAAACGATCGGACATCGACTTCAGAGCGATGGGAGGACTCGTTCTCGAATCTGAAGCATTTACTTATGCAAGCGGATCAGTGGTGAGTACAAAACAAAATTAATCAATTTTTGAACCTGATTCTTCCGTTCGGTTGACAGGACGAAAAAATTCTTTATGTAACACATATCAGACGTTTCCACCCAACTGGTTTTGGTTATCATAAGATCAGTTCAATTTACGACTGCATATTAGGTCAGGTGATGTTTCATCCGAATAAAGAAACATATGATTCGTTTTAATTCCACTGCTGTTTTATAATCACATGCACTTGCAGATGAAAAGAAATTCAACGGTATCAGAAGTACTGCTTTATTGTATTTTTTGTACAGGGACAATGCTTTTAAATAACTGATGTATGAAAAACTTTATCCTCACCATTGCAATGAAATGAGTTGTTTTTAGTACACCACTGTCAACATTCGGTGCTACGTCACTGCCTTGAATCTGTATAGTTGAACGGTGGCCATCTGCATCAATTATTTCGTTTGCCGACCATATTATGTATCTTTGCATTTTTCAATTTTTTCATTACGATTCCTTTGTGGTGACACTGCGACCGAAGTCCTTAAGTTAACTCATACTCATGCTACCGCGAGATGAATCTCTGTCATTATCGCATGGTCCTTTTTATTAATTAATTGACTTAGCTCTTCATATCATCATAGAAAGCTCTTTCTGAATACAACGCGACGCCGTTACCAAGTTTACAATTTTTGAAGATGTCTATTTTATTTTATTCCATTGCGATGGCTGCTCGATTTCGTCTCTCGCATTACATATCGATTGAAGTCACTCTATTAGTGTAATATTAAACTATTATCACGTTTGCGGTTTCGATTTGCATATTTATTTGACGAATGCCCGAAGTGATTAAATCAGCGTAGTTTCCGGTAGTCCGTAATTTACATCTGTGCAGTTTTCAAATGCTTCTACAACTTAACATTTTTCTTTTACTGCCGGATGTACACTGAGTACGTGCACTGTTCCTTTACTTTTATCGGCTTAGATATCCATTTGAGCAGGCCAGCCGTCGGTGGTATTTAAGTAGCTGCAGTACATGGATACAAATCCGCATTACTTGCTACTTTTGCAATGTATTTCGTCATGTTGCCTATCAGTCATACGCTTTACCATAGCAACAACTAATGGAATAAAATTAAATAAAAAAGTAGTCGAAATTTACAAGCTTCACGACACGTAAATGACTATCTTTGTACTCGCAGAACATTCTGTTTATGGCTAAAATGATGGCTGAAGTGAAGTTATTGGTGCTGATGACTACGTGC